AAAGGGAAGGGAGGGGGGACGTGAAAAATGTGAGAGGGGGAGGATGGTGAGGATGGCGCGCGGTTTTGGCGCGCGGAGAAACGGTGGAAGAATTTTAACGGCTAATTCGTTTCTCTTTCCCTTGTAATAACGGTGGCCCGCGAAACTTCAGAAATATGAAAACCGCCGCTCGAATTCCGTTAATTGCCGGCTTCTTGTTGGAATTCGAACCCTTGGGTTAGATGGGTGAAGGGAAGGAGGGGGTTCGAGGAAACCGCGAACAGAAATAATAGACCAACAACGGAGTCGTAATTACTACTCTTAATTGGGGTATAGATATACACAGGCTTTAAGGTAACCGGTGTTTAGCCGGATGGTTATCCGGAATCGGGAATCCGGGCAAGAAGTAACTCTGCGAGGAGGTTAATGGTTGCATAGTTTCCCCTTATCGGTGGTTAGCTCGTCCATCGATGGCCGAGCAATTCGACGATGAAATTGTTCAGAATTTTCCTCCTTCCTGGTATGGACGAAAAGTGGGCGAGACGAATTAAATGGTGGAAAAGTCGAGTGTTACCGTCCGACCCCGTTCAAACAAGGCAGCCTCGTAAATTCAAATCACAGCCGAGAGGCTCCCTTTGAGCCGGCCGACTCAACGTTCCGAATCAACGTCGGTTGGGGGATTATCCGAAAACAAGGAACAGTTGAACTCTAATTGGACTCTTTGCCAGGGGGTTTGACTCGAAATTGCTCCGCGACGCGAGAGACACCGAGCGTGGAAGAGCGTTTAACGCCCGGTCCCGCTTCGAGAAATTGCAGTCGTTGCCATTTGATCCGTCTCGTTGCATTTAATCTGCGCGAATGTCGCCGGTTACGCGGTGTCCTAACCGGAAGAGAAGAGGAGGAACAGGAGGAGGGGGTGGAACGAACGAAATTGTTCGGAAGAGAAAATATCGAGGAGGTGATTCCGAGTTTTAAAGTCGAGGTGAATCGCGAATATCGATCCGTCGTCGAACCGTCCAAGTCGATCGCGAAACGCTGAAACTCGATCGAACGGAGGGTATAGTTGTGTTCGAATAGCTTCGTCTCGCTCCTCTGTCGAGGTTTCTACAAATTCATCAACCGCATCCGGTTGATCGAACTCGCGACACGATCGAACTGTGTCGACTCGAACTCGGGTTTTTCTGCCCGAGTGAAAAAAATTCGGTTGACCGCTGCGAAAAGGCAAGTTGCATTGGGAACGGCGTTGGCCGCGATCGTATATAGAATCGTGGCGAACGTTTTATCCGGCCCCTGGCAAAATGGTCCTGACGCAGTCCTGATCGTGCAGATCCTCGCGTCCTGTCCACCGGATGGTTTTTTATTCGGGCGATAACGGCCACGACGTGACGGATGTAA